ATCCTGTACGAATATATATCGATCAGTCGAAGATGATCTGAAGCAAGGGCTGAGTGTGTGTGTGTGTGTGTGTGTGTGTGTGTGTGTGTGTGTGTGAGGTTAGAAACGCGGGGGTGGGGAGCGGAGCAAAGCAGGTAAAGTAACCGCAGTGCCTCAACGACTATATAGTCTACAATATCGCGTTACAGAACGTCGGTCTAGCAGACAATCGAGCAGGGCAAACAAGATATATGCATCCATACTATATGTATGTATGTGGGTGGGTGGGTTGGTCGGTTTGTGCACGCATGTACGTAATGGAACAGGTTCTCGTAAGGGTTGGTTCTTCAGAGAGATCTCACAGTGAGTCAGGCGTACAACATCAGTCATTCCTTGGCACGATATCTGGAACAGCTAATGAACAATTGGTTCACAGTTGCCTTGGGTACAACACTGACTGGAAATCGGGTACTAAACAGAAAACTATATGGTGGACTTAAATGCGTTCATTCGTCCAGTTTTCCAAAGACAGACACACTACCTATTCTTTTGCCAAAGCGGCACAATAAAGAACAGTGAGCAGCCGTATGTTTACAGTGCAATGATTTGCAACTACTGAATTCAACATTGAAATTCTACCAGGACCATGATAAACCGACCAGAAGTGAGATTATGGCGAAAAGAATGTGCGCATACAAGCATTTCCGTTGCTATGATACGGATGTATGATCCATTTCTATGTAATCAGCAAAAAACGTTTTCCGTCCCTGTTTGTAGTTTGTGCAACCATCAAACACGGATCGATTTCGCTTTCCGGTTTTAGTTGGAGTGGCTAACCACTCAGTCAACCGGTGTGGGGAAACTAACATCGGACGATGTGTGTATGTGTGTGTGTGAACACGACACTTCTAAATTCCAATTCCCGACAACAATGAAGAACTGTCTTTCTGTATTCAGGATTTCCTGTTTCGTTTTGATCAGTTTCCAATAAGTGCCAGGTGAGCCAGTGATCTCTCATCTGTCCAAATGCAACCCTATGTAACAGCTTATTCCGAAGTACATTTGAAGGGTTTTAGCTGAGCCACGAAAGAGTTCGTGTATTCGAAAAGGTAATCCAGAGTATTGCACTGGTATGAAGAGCAGAAAGTGACATTTCATCGTGGATCAATGCGATTTGCAAACGCAATACACATGGAAATCACTCCGCGCTGGTCAACAAAAGTACACTGATACAATCAGGGCTCGGGGCACATACCAATTATTGTGATCATCCACATCATGATCACCGTGAAAAAGCCAATCCACACACAGGCCATAAAGAATGCGATCCAGTGTGAGAGAAAAATACGTCGCCATTTGGCTTTGCGTACGTCCGGCACGGTCAAACAAAGAACCAACCGGATCGGGATTAGGCATAGGCAACAAAAGTAGTGAATTTTTCCCCGTATACCCTCTCGTCGGGGCAAGCGTAGTGGAGCGAAACAAGTTTCTGTCCACGATTCATCTTTATCCGGAGAGATCACTTGCGCCTCGAGTTCGTCCGGTTTCATAGTGGCCAAGTTGGTTTCGAGTTTCTCGTCAGTCACACCGGAATCCGTAACTGAGTGAAGGAAAATATAGGAATTCAAAAGATCCATGAAAACAAAACTACCAACAGAATCGCTACAAGTATTACAGAAGATACAGACTTAAATCAAAGAGAATTTTTAATTCAAAGGAGAACAGACACAAAAATTCCGAATAACCAAAATAAACCGGATCAGCCGTTTGGACAACGCGCGAATTACTCGAACATTCAGAAGAACAACAAGAAGGAAAAATGCACATCCTTGATTTTGATCATTATTTACAAGCGCTATCAGGCAGTTGTCAATGCATAATGTATATTATTTATTTATATAAGACAAACAATATAGCGAGCAAGCTTGTTATCGTAACTTCGTCTTCAGGCATTAACAGTTGGGTGTCTTTATATATATAAGGAAATAAAAGTAACCGGTTCACTATACTGCCGTTAGATTGACGAAAATTTTATCCTTTCAGATCAAAGCATTTTGCCGAATATAATATTGTATCATTTTAACGGAGCTCGGCTGTCAGTAAGTCTCACGACTGAAACAGGATCAGAATATGCCTCGCTTCCTCCACGTCAACCTCTAGAAAGGACCCAATGGAGATTGATGCCGTTCATTCTTTCACAAACCAACATGAAACAGTCAATGCATCCATTTCCAAAGTTTCGTTTTAAACAGATTAAAATTGAACTTCATACAATGACTGGCCCTTAGGACTCCAAGGATCTAGTGGAAAAATAAATAAGAACCAAATCAAATCTACACTCCTGAATAATGGATACCCGAAGCGTTTCATCAAAAAGAACATTATAAAAAAGGCCCACATTACCAGAAACAATCTATATCAAAAAAGAACTCTTTTTGCAGCTCTCATTCATTTGAGTGAGGATTTATTGAGAAGACGCCTGGAAAAAGTAATCACACAAACGTATCCAGCCGCCACTCTACGTGCGACGTTTACAAGATGGCCACAGCTCTGCACAAACCTCAAGCATCAGTTGTCTGTCCTCTCCTCATCCGTTATTACATATTTATCCACTTGTTCGCACATGATTGGTAATTTATGTCGGACGAACGAGGAGACAGTTTTCACAAAAGATCAGAGAACATAAACTGATCTGGCTAAGCACAGGATGTAAGAAAACAATAACCAGTGCGATTGTGGCCCATCACGCTGATACCGCGCACAAAACAGAAAACGATACATTTAAATTCATCTAAAAAGTGCCCTCAAAACAAGCCGAAGTACGTTCGGCAGTATCACTTGGCAAAGGCAGAAGCAGTAGCAATCGAAATCCTAAAACTACCATTATGCAAACAGAAGGAAGTGGTTGCCTCACTCCATTTGTCTTGGCCCCGCCCCCAATCTACAAAACGAATCAAAGCATGACCTCAAACATGTCATGATGACACAATGTATCGCGAGAAGTGGTGTAAAAAAGGTCATCGGAAATGTCCAGAAATTACCTTGATCACTCGTCCCTCCTTTCTCCGAGTGCCCTGTGGAACTTGACAGACGTTTTTTAATTTCCCATTTTACCTTGATGAAGTAATCACGTTTACATCTACTTTATATATAAATGCATATCACTGTAAATGCCCGGATTAAAAGATGAGAAAAAAGCTATGTCCACTATATTGTTTGTCTTTGGAAATTGTAATGGTAGTCGTCTATATATATGTATATATATATATATATATATGATGGAGCACAAGTGAATCGTATCGTTCTTTTTTCAATGTCTGTTTAATGCAACCAACAAATGCAATATTCCTGTTCCCTGCTGTGCAATTTGATATTTTCGAACTTGACGACATCATCTCCAGTTAAACTGGTTGCAAATAAATTCTGTCTATTACGGTTTTCTCAGCCTTTCAGTCAGATTTGTATTTGTTATGACTGTTTATTATAAGGTTTCGATGCATATCTCACTTGGAGGCCAAAAACAGATGGCAATAAACTTCCAATATACTTCAACGGGACATCAAAAGAGACTGCTAATGAACATCAGAAGCTCCAAATAACTGGTAATCACACATACCACTATTATTACGAACAAATGATTTGGAAAAGTGATAAGAAAATATCTAGTTTTAGCTTAATACAATTCATCCGGTTGCCGCTCTTTTTACGACACCCAAAATTGACAAAACAACGTCCAATTTGAAGAAACAACACTCTCGGTTGGCTGATTACGACTGAGGAAATACTCCCAGTTGATACCAGCAACCAGAACCGGCGCATGAAATTGTCTGGTTAATGGTTGTACAAACTGAAACTAATTACGATTGAGAAACTAATGATAAGGAAAAAGAAGAGGGATAACTTTCAGTTCAGTAGGAAGCAAAATAAAAAACGAGCCCGGAAATGCATCACCAGCCAGTACAAATACATCTACATCCATATCAAAAGACGTGAAGTAGACAATTTTGAGGAAACCAAGTGTTTGACATTGTGCAAATCATAATTTATTCATTTGCCCGAATGCCAGCAGCAAAATTTCAGAGAAATAGTGAAGTCTTGGAACATTCACGAAAAGCAAACAAATTACTGCCTAAATACACAAAATGAAATAAAACACTGTGGTAGAATTGCTATCACGGGAACAGCGCCAGTTTGACTTCGTGTTACCTCACGTTAAGTTTGGAGTTGGTTTCTATCATAATCGAAAATAAAGTCTGTGAACGGGGATTAAGTTTGTCGGACATCATTGGGTGAGATGAGTTTAGGTCACTAGTAAAAATCAGTCTGACACAGTGCACAACATACCCCCGAGTGTCTTAAAATCATTCTACCGGTTAAAGTTTATACCATTCCCGTCTGTCAATCTGCAGTGACGGACTCTGATAAACCTCCCCCCGTATTACATAAAGATGAAGGCTCGTACCCCAATTTGTGGAACACCGAGCAGGTCCTCTCTTCCCGAAGAGAATCCATTGTTGTCCCCATTTTAAGGATCCGTGGAACAACTGCATCGAGCACAAGGGTATAGCTTGAAAGCTGATTGAACTCATTATTCCTCGCACGTTGCAAAATGCACGTGGATAGCAGATCACAGGGTAGGCAGAGTAGCACATGCATAGATAAAATCTTTAACCACTGAACACTTGCTAGAGCACTGTCATGTTTCCCAGACAACGATGACCAACGTGTTCTCAGACGTCCACACAACCTTAGATGCCATCGACAGTAATGTGGCAATGTACATCCTTCCAGGAAAAGCAATATCATTGCAGTTTCAGTTTCAGTGCTTACAACCATAAACTATGCATGTTCGTGCGCCGGTTTCGTTCGCTGGCCTCAGGCTGACCATTGCGGGCTCGTACAAATGTGGATGCACAACAAAAAGTGTACAGTTGGCTTCTGAAGACAGGTTAAACAAATAAAGATAATGTTAAGGTGGCCGGAAAAAAATAAGGTTAGTCATGACCGATGACAATATTTTGTTTTTAATTGTTGACGAGGTGTAACAATACTTTTTCAATCAAACGAACTAAGAAATTAACCGTTTTCATACTGGATGATAAGCAAATCGACAATACAAAGTTCATATGACAAAACTAGGATTAAATAAAAAGTATAAGCGAAAATAAGTGGTCAATTTCATCATAACTTTTTCCATATTATCACCAAAAGAGTTCAATTATTTGCCTGGCACCTTGGCAAAATCAATGTTAGTATCATGTGCAGCTTGAACTCCACTGGACGGAAAACGAATTCGTCAAACGCCTTAGTCTAATCCCGATCCCAATTCACCAGAGAGAAAACTTTCCATTTGGGGGCCTCAAAAACAGACTAATCAATGGTTGGAGACGCCTAATGATATAACTGGAAGTCCGAAACAGTACGCCCAATCCGTTTCTTCACAAACATGGTACTGCTCTCAGTTTTTCAGCTTTTATCTATTCCTTTACTGTCAGGCAGTCGAAAGACAACAGCCAAAAACGCTGTACGAATCCGAAAAGTTAACGGATATATAAACTGAAGACTGAGACTTCACATACTTCCAGACTTGGTTAGATTGCTAATGCCTCGGAGGGCACGACAAGTGGACAAGCTTCGGGGTTCAACACTTATGCTGTTCATCAACATTAAGATGCACAAAGAATAAGTCATGTCAGACTGTTCATATATACTTTTCGATATCCCTGAACAATGCACCATCAACGACAATGTGAAATGCCTGAATTTACTTCAAATTTCACTCGCAGTTACATGTGAGTAGCGGTGTGGGATAATTGGTTTTCAGTAATTTGAGCTGACTATTCTTCGGAATTCAGCTTCACGCACACTCCTCAGTGCATCGATTCAACCACTGAATTTACAATAATAAAGACAATAGCTGATTGAAAACTGTTAGGCTCTTGAATACATGGAATAATGCACTAGCAAAATCACACGACAACAACACGTCGAATTTTATCAACTTTGTTAAAACACAAACAAAACGAGCAATACATTGTACATTGGATTATGCACGCACAGGGAGTAAAAAAAATGACGATTTCACAATGCTCAGTGATGGCTAATTCAACGAGCTCATACCAAATCAATCAAGAACCTCAACACCAGATTACAACATTTCAGTATTTTAGGGTGTAGCCTTATTCCGTTGACTACCGGATAACTCACAAGTCAACCTCCTACAAAAATTTCGCTTTTTGGTAATTTGGTTACGTGTTCATAGACGTTCACTAAGGGTCTTTAGGATTAGTGAATAGCTTCAATATCCTTTATCTGAATAAAGTTGTTCTCGTACAGCAAACCGGAACACAATTACGTAAAACAGATAAAGCAAAACACACCTCTGAAAGGAGTGAAATCTTAGACAATCATGTTTGATTTCCCTACTGTGATGTTATATGTGGGCGACGATATGGCATCTACTGGAAGGCTTTAATGAAAGACAATGCCCTTGATTCTATAAAATTTGAAAAGGATTCCTCAAAATTGAGTTCCATTCATTAAAATTCTGTCAAAAATCAATGCAGCTGTCTGGAAAACAGTGCACTATTCGTCTGATTTACAGTCAAGTTGTCAGTTTAAGGCAAAAATCACTGTGGATACAGTTCTACCTATCATTTGACCCGTCGCAAAATGCGACCACTTGAACAAAAGTTATAGACACAAGATAACACACCCAGTAGCCATGTCAATCAGTTCGCTCTCAGCCAACTGCAACATGTCAGTTTTATAATGAACAAAATTTATGGTTCTTTTGAAATTACACCCTGCATCGTTTAACTATATGGGCGGTAAGAGAATGAAAATTAACCGTGTATTTAAAACGGACTTTGGCGACGAAAGTTTTGATGCGCAATGCCCCCGAAAGCTAGAGCAACATTGCCGGGCTCGTAAATCAGGTTCGTCGCAAACCCATTATACCTAAGATTCATTGAGTCAAGAAGCGATGTAAATCTTATAAGAGGCACCACCTAAATACGTGTCCACTATACACACCTATGCAAAACGCTATTTTATTCTACACATGGGGCAGTTTTAAAACCGGACAAATCTCAACAAGAAATCAACTGAAATGAACATTTCATTTCACTCAGCTTCGCAAAAATACCATTAGCTATTTTAGGTAGCTCGATTATTAAGGCAACCATCATCAAACAAAAGATGACTCTAGCATCAGATTTACCACAAGGGCTTCCTTTTGACCAGTATTTTTTTCGTAAAGTAAATAAAGTAAAGAACGTCTAATCATCGACTTTTATTTGAATCATTCTGTAAACCATCATAATAAACCAAAACCAACTGACTGCCACGGAATTAAGTTCTAAAACACGTTTGATTTGTGGATACTATGATATAATCTTTGGGGGATTGTGTTTTTCTCTGTTGCTCACGATGGCGAAATTGAATGAAAGAATCCAGAGAAAATATGATCCATTCCGAAAACATACCATTTGAATTCATATACGGATCGTCCACTTTGTCCAGACTTAGTCTGGCATAGCCACGTTCAGGAGCGGGAGCACTAGGAACACCGGGTGCCTGCGGTTGACTGGTCACGTGACCGAAGGCCCCCGAATGCTGTTGCATGTAATCGATTTCCTCTTGCTCCGTGTGGATTGCACGAGGGCAGCATGTCGGATGCTGGCGACACCAAGCGTTCCAGAACGCGTCGCATCGTGGATTGTAGTACATGAATATCACGTACACCACATATAATAGCAACAAAACCATGGCTTCGTACCTGTGGAATTGCAACAACGCGCAGCAATCGTTAGATGTGTAACTATCCGTAAAACATATTTATCAAACACCTAAATCAAACCAAAAGTCAGTAGATATACACATTAATCGAAAACCTTCAATATTGAAAGTTTGGTTGGTACTTTTGTTGGGTCAAGCTGTCTGTGTTTGAGTTTCAGTTTTTAGAGCCACTAATTCAGTTTCTATTCCTTTTCCCCGCCCCAAATGCTTGTGTTGAATCCTTCGCTGCGGAGGCTTAGTGGCAGAGAAAGTTTGAAAAACTAATGAATATATCCTATCATAGCTTTTACTTTCTAGAACCAAAGTAAAAATTTTGGTCGTGGATACAGTAAATGAAGCGTGAACTGAGAAGCTAAGAAGCACTGGACAGCTGTTTCGATCTGATTGAGTCTCATCACCAGTGCAAATCCATCGACCCAAATGGAAATCGAACCCGGGACCTCACAAGCAGAACCTGCAAGCACGCTACCCACTCGGCCCCCGAGCAGCTGATCAGACGGTTTATCATCTTCCACTTCGACGATATAACGCAACCTATCTTTTCGAGCTTATTGCGGGCCTCGCTCATCTCAGCACGAGCCTCCGGCGGTATGACTCGATTGGAAACTTTCATAACCTGACCCAATGAAAAATAAATTTAAATAAGCGTCGAGTTACGCAATCAATAGGGATAGAAAGATATGCAGTTCTTCTCAGTTACAGACCGTTGAAAGTTTTTTGTTTCATCTACCATAAAATATTGCAATGTTTCCCGGAAAAAAATCTGTTATGCAATTCGATTAAGATGAGGGCTTGGTGGTTAAGGTGGTTAAGTTTGAAATCGGTGATCCAGAAAGAGTTCATTTTGGAAACCAATGAATTAAAATATTCTTTCTTCTCTTCATATTGCGCACGACAACCTGTTTCTCCTCGATGGGAATCAGATACCTATTGTGCATTTTTGAATCGTCTATTTTTTCATCTGATAAACGACAAATGTACAGTAAACCTCCACGAAAGGGATGGAGACTGTCAAAGCCGTTTACGGGATATGGAGAAGTTAGAAGACGGTAGTGAAGTGGGACTTCCTAACTGAAGTATCCGTGCGATGTTCAAATACAGAGTGTGAATGTCGCAGACAAAAAGTGAAGTCGTAAACAGTTATACCACGGAGGGGATGAGTGATGTTCAAAGAGGTAGTTCAGTGGGAGCCGACGACTCAAACCCTGAGGCTTGGAATAGTGAACTACATTAGGTTAGTGGTAGGCAGGTCTGCTGTCGTCCGATTCAATACCACGCCTAACATATCGGGGTCTTATGTGGTTCGCCACTCCAAGTCTCGGGGCTCAGGTTACCGGTTTCCACCCCAGAGCAGCAGGTCGTCCTGACTATGGGGTTCGCCCCGTCTGCTGTTCATCACACTTAGGTGTGTAATAAAAAAAATAGGATACACACCACAAATCAGTTTATGAGTTACTAAAACAACGGTTCTTTGGTATGTGCTTAATGCGAAAAGGCAAACTATACAGTGATGAGAATACCGTTATCAGAAATGTGACTGTGTGAGACTCAAATACACCACTGCAACTGGAGATCTTTGTAAACGAAATGTGGCTAACATGACCTACAGGATTTATCTGAAGGCAAAAGAAACAGTAAGAATATGTTCGCGTGGTTCAGAATAATCAGTATTCCAGGACAAGACGTGTAAAGTGATGAATGGATATGGAAACTACGACGAAACCAGAGCTCTGAAATCACGTGTTGAACTACTCACCACTATAGTGGATTAAG